TAAGAGACAAGGAGAGGCTTGATCTGAAATGCAGTAAAAGGAATGATGCTCTCAGGACAAGATCCTATCCATCTAATCTTTTATCTTGTGAAAAGAAAAGGCCAGAGGAATTTTCTGGCCTTAAAAAGCAACCACAGGAAGACCAACACACCTCTCTGAGGTTATCTGCCCTGGGTGGGGAGGAAAAAACATGGGCCTGCCCCTGCTAGGTGGTTGAGATCTATTATAGTGATCAAATATGTTGTGGGGTATGGAAGAGAGAGAGGCAGAATGGTTCATGTCCTGTGAAGAGAGGCAGATCTGAAGTGGAGAAGGCTGAGGAGTGGGCTGAGGTAGGTGGCCTTCTTGTCCTACAGGGTCATGGTGATGTCTGAGCCTGGGCTGCTGTTAAGGGCCATGTCTGTAGCTGTGGTTTGTGTTGATGTCCACAACTCTTGTTACCACTGAAGGCCAAGAGAATAGGGCTGCATAGAGTTGGTCCCATACCTTATTGGCTTTAACAATAGGATGAATGGACTATGCACCTCACTTGGGAGAGCAGGTCCTCTACCTCACTTGGCCAGCAAGACAGAGCTGGCCCTGTTGATGAGGGTGTGGGTGAGCTGGCCTTGAGGGCATGAGAGTGGAAGAACTGGTTCCACTCCCCTCATCTGCCATGTAGTGGTGTGGGCAAGGGAATGATGTCCTCCCCTTTGCTCTTTGACATCTGCTGTGGGCAGGAGAGCTGATCCTCCCTTTAACCAACTGCAGCATTCAGGAGAGTGGACCCTGTACCTCTCCTGGGCAACACAGTAGAGCTGGCCCTTCTGGTGTAGGTGTGGATGAGCTGGCCATAGGGTGTGAAAGCAGGAGAACCCAATCCTGTCTCTTGCTACATGCTGCATAGGGTGATCTAGCTGGCATGGTGCTGGAGAGCTCACCCTGGTGGTGAGGATGAGGGAGAGCTGGCAGACTGACTAACCCAGGCCCAGAACCAGGGCTTTGAGTTAGCCCACCCCAACATCTACCCCATCTATGGCTTGCTGGAGCAAATGAAGGGGCAGGTCTTGCAGACCAAAAGCTTCAGAATTTCTGTGACACAGGTTAACAATAGAATATCCAGAAAGAGTCCAAGTCAGGGCTAAGCAACAATAGGGTAGCGTAAACCACAGGCCTCAAATCAGCCCATTGCGATGAACACTTGCAAATAAAGATCTATGGACAAAAGAGTGTAATGTGTGACTCGATTTGTCACACTACAGCTTCCTTGATGAGATTTTTCTTTTAAAATTTATTTTGTTTCATTTGGGGGGATGTTGCAGGGGTAGAGGGCAGATGTGGGTGGATGGAGGATGAATGAGATGGAGATGCATGATGTGAAATCCACAAAGCATCAATAAAAAGTCAAATTAGAAGGTAGAATATCAAAATAACAAAAGATAGCAACCACAAAGAAAAGCTAATGCAAATGTGACTCAAAGGGGGTCAGGCTCCACCAAGAAGCAGAACTTGGTGGTGTCATCCACATGGTTCTGGCTCTAGAGTCATGAAAGATACACAAGTAAAGGAATTGCAGAGCCTTTAGTAATTAAAGATAGCATCTGAGGCCAGGAGTGTAGCAGGGGAGTTCCAGCATGGAGGCCCTAAAAGACAATTGTGTGATGTTGTGAAAGTGAAGCTTGGATTGAGTTTGAGACCCCAAGATGTTTGAGATGTCAGAGTTACGAGACAACTGCCAAGACAGTTGCTTAGCTGTAGACAGGGAATAGAACCAGGCTGAGAGAAAGAAGCGTGTTGCAAGCAGCAAATCCTGAAGAGTGGAGCCATCTGAACTCTTTAACATCAGACATTTAATTGGGGATTTCCCTGCAGCTGGAGAGTTTTCTCTCTGCGTCCCACCAAGCCCCAACAGTCTGACAGCCCACTTATAACATAAACACACAGACTCTTATATTATTTACACTGTTTGGCCTAATGGCTCAGGCTTTTAGCTATCTAGTTCTTACATCTTATATTAATCCATTTCTATAAATCTATACCTTGCCTTGTGGCTCATGGCTTACCGGCATCTTCACATGCTGCTTGACATGGTGGTGGCTGGCAGTGTCTCCCTCCACCTTCCTGTTCTCTCAGTTTTCCTCTCTCTTAGTCCCGCCTGTACTTCCTGCCTGGTTACTGGCCAATCAGTGTTTTATTTATTGACCAATCAGAGCAACACATTTGACATACAGACCATCCCACAGCATCTCCCTGTTGAGTTTCAGTCTTACTTTGGTTAAGTATTTTCTCACTATACTCCCCATTCATCCTATTTGGAATGGTAATGTATATTCTGTCCCACTGTATGTTCCAATTGTAAAATTTTCTTTTTCTTTTGATTTTATAGGTCTTTATAGTTAAGAGATTGCCTTGAATCTAAAAAAAAGACTCCAAACTTTTAAGCAGCATTAAGTCTGTAAAGGACTATGAGGACTTTTGAAGTTGGACTAAATGCATTCTGCGTATGATATGGCAAAAGCTATTAGGGTCCAGCCCTAATAACCTCCCAGAGTTCCCAGAAGCACCTACAACCAGATAGGAATCTATTTGAGGGATATCAAATGAAGCTACATACACCATGCTCTTTCAGTTCATCCACTTTATTGCTCTAAGTAAGCTAACTTCTGCCTCTGATCTCTTTGCTGTTCTCACTTTGGTCTACTGCTTCTCTAAATCTACAGCTTCTTTTCAGTTCTTAGTTCCTCTCTTGCCTGACTATACATACATTTCTAACAGGAGACTCCTTGCAATCCTGAGAAAAGTTTCAAAACCCTCAAGATCATAGCACATTTCTAGAATAGACAATAAGGAGCAGAGCCATTACCATGGCAACTCAAGGTTCCAAGATCTCAGGACCAGAGGAAGGGGGTGCAGTGCCCAGTGTGACAAACTCTGAGACATAGCTTTTTATCAGCAGATGTGGCAAGCAAAGAGTTGGCAGTCTTTTCTTAGGGTGTTTTGTGTTAGTAGCCTCAGTGAGACGAGACACCTAGTGAGTCTAGTTTGAACTTGCTCTGAGGTAAAAATGAGCTAAATATGTATAATTTGTATTAGACTGAGGAGAGATTATTATTTTCTGTGTTAGTCTGAGCAAAAGGAACAAAATAGGCTTTAAGTGTTTGTAGTCTTATGGGACAATGGATCTGGCTATGAAGCATATCCTAGTATATTTTCTATATATAAAAATTATACAGCTAAATAGTCATCTTCCTGACAGATGTGTGCCCATAGATATATGTGCCCATAAAATTGAGATGTAATTATCATATTACATATATACATTACATGAAGGTGCATGGTAATGGGGAGATATCATAGCTGTTATTGTACAAGAAGTTTACAAGACACAGTCAATTTGTTCAAAAGGCACTAACTCCAACATGCCTTGTGGGATGGCTTCGTCCTCTACCAGAACCCTTGGTTCTGAAAGGTTGACCTTTTGAACACTAGTTGTACCCTGATGTATACTCCCATGGCTCTTTGTTATCAGTAGCTCTCAGTAGGGCCTGGGAATTGGAATGTGGTAGTTTAATTGAGAATAGTCCCCATTGGCTCATATATTTGAACACATGATCCCATGTTGGTGGAACTGCTTGGGGAGGATTAAGAAGTATAGCCATTTTCAAAAAGGAGTACCACTGGGAGTGTGCTTTAAGGTTTCAAAAGCCTTGAACCAATTAGAGTTAGCTTTTTTTCTGCCTCATGCTTGTGGATCAAGATGTGAGCTCTCAGCTACTGTCTGGGCACCATGTCTACCTGCCTGCTGTTATGTTACTACCATGATGGCCATGGACTCTAACCCTCTGGAACTTTAAGCCCCAAATAAACTCTTTCTCCTATAGATTGTGTTGGTCATGGTCTTTCACAATAATAGAAAAGTAACTAAGACATCACAAACTTTGGTGCACTTAATTTCATAAAATGCATGATAAGGAAATTAAAGATACAGATAAACTCCAACTCAGAAACTGAAGGCTATTTCATACTCCCCTCTGTCTAATACACAAATGAGTTGGACAAAAGATAGCAGAGAAACATTAGGATTAAATAACATTATATGTCAAATGCACCTAGCAGATTGTAGAATATTCCACTCAAACATAAAGAATGTATGTTCTATTAAGCAATCTATGGAAGCCTCTCTAAAATAGCCCACATGCTGAAAAACAAAACCAATAGAAAGAAATTGAATTATCTCATCTGACTATAATATAGTAAAGCTTAGAGTCAACAGCAAAAGAATCTCTGGTAATTACACAAACTCCTGGAGATTAAACACATCACTGAATGATAAGCGGGACGAAGGATAAATCAAGAAAAAAACCCCTTTAATTAAGTGAAAATGAAAATACAACAAAAAATCCTATGGGACACAGTAAAAGCTGTCCTAGGAGGGCAATTTGTACTTGAATGCACCTACATTAAAAAACCATAAATAGAAAAAACAAATGACCTATTGATTTAACTCAAGAACTTGGAAAAACAGCAAATCAAACCCAAGTAGAGTAGATGGCAAGAAATAATAAAAAATAGGACATAACTTAAAACCAGAAACAAAGAAATGAAAGAATCTAAGAGCTGGTATGTTTTTGAAAATATAAAGATAATTGACTGACCCTTAGCACAATTAACCAAAAGGAAGAAGACCCAGATTAACAGAATCTGAGATGAACAGAGAAACATTACAGCATATATAAAAAGTTCAGAATATTATAAAAGAATACTTAGTTAGTCAGTGATGATGCACACTTTTAATCCCAGCATTCAGAAGGCAGAGGCAGGCAGACCTCTGTGAGCTCAAGGCCAGCCTGGTCTACAGAGTAAGTTACAGGAAAGATTCCAAAGCTACACACACACACACACACACACACACACACACACACACACACACACACACACACACAGTCTTGAAAAAACAAAGGAAAAAAAAGCACTTAAACTATAATCCATTGTCTTAGGGTTTCTTTTTTCTTTTCTTTTTCCACATGTGATTGAGTTTATTGTACAGAAAGGTAACAGAAAAGAGTTAGACATAGAATTAATGTGGGTTTTCTATCCACAGGCCTTAGCATCCCTGCCATGGATCCGCCCGGTTCTTTCACATCAAGAAGTTAATCTTTCGAGCCATTTCCATGTTGTAGATCCTCCAGCATGCTTCATAGCTCTTCCACTGGTGGTGGCGGCACGGCTTCTCGTAATAGCACCCTCGCTTTATGACTTCAGTAGGCTCATTGGCAGTGAGGATTCTGTTCAGGGTTCTGTATGCACCTTCCACATTCCCCTCCTGAACCATCACAGTCCTGGCAATGAACTTCAGGTGTTTAGCCATGGCCTTGCTTACAAATCTTCATTTTTCAGGACCTGCTGCCTCAGTGCTCAGACACCAGGACCATCTTAGGGTTTCTATTTAACTGGGGCTGGCTTACAGTTTCAGAGGTTTAGTCCATAATTGCTATGGTGGGAAGAATGGCAGTGTGCAGGCAGACATGGTGCTGGAGAAGGAGCTGAGAGTTGTACATCTTGATCTCCAGGCAGCAGAAGGAGACTGTGTGTCATACTGGGCATAGCTTGAGTAGATGAGACCCCAAAGTGACACACTTCCTCTAACAAGGCCATACCTACTCCAACAAAGTCATACATACTAACAGTGCCACTCTCTATTACCAAGAATTCAAACACATGAGTTTATGGGCACCATTCCTATTTAAACTACTACATCCATTGTTATAATATCCCAAAGAAATGGAAAATTTACTTTATTCATGTGGTTATATATTATAGAATCATCTGAACTACTAAAGCTAGACCAAGAAGAAATGAACAACTTAAAAAATGAGTAATAAGAGGTTGAAACAATAATATGAGCATTCTGCCTGAAAAAAATGCTCAGGTCCAGACAGATTCATAACCAAATCCTAATAGTCTCTTAAGTAACTACAATCAATATGTCTTAAGGTATTAAAAAAAACCAGAAAGCATACTTCCAAACTCCTTCTACACTATCACTGTAATATCCAAACCACATAAAGATACATCAAAAAGAGAAACACAGGCTAATATCCCTATGTAAAAATAAACAAAAATCTTCAATAAAATGATTTCAAACTGAATACAGGTATAAATAAAATATATTATCCACCACAATCAGGTTGGCTTTATCATGGAGATATAGGGATAGTTCAACACATTTAAGTTGATAAATGTAATAAACCATATAAATGGACTTAATAATAAAATCACATTATCTTAATAGATGCAGAATAGACCTTTGAAAAAAAATCCAACTTACCTACAAGATAAAAGTTCTAGAGAGATTATGACTGGAGGGAGCATCCACCAACATGATAAAGATGATAGGTGGCATACCTACAGACAACATCATTCTAAATGGATAAAAGCTTAAAGCAATCTCATTAAAGCCAGGGATGACAGAAGACTGTCCATTATCTCCACTCCTTTTTCAATAGAGTTCCGAAAGCACTAGCCAGAGCAATAAAGAGAAGGAAATTAAAGGGATGCAAATAGAAAAGAAGTAAAGCAATACTTATTTACTGATGATATATGTAAGAGATCCCCCAAATCCCACCAGAATGGCTATGTCAATAACTTTAGACTCATGGGAAAATGGAAAAGTCTTTCCCACAGGGTAAGGCCCAGAGGAACAGCAAAGCCTTCCTCTGGTTCATGTGAGGTTGTTGATAGTGTGTAGAAATGTGCACCACAGTTTCCTCACCTTCTGAGTATTCTGAGTATTTATGGCCAGATGACTGCTCTCCTATACAGACTGCTCCTACCAAGATTATCTAAATCTATCTCCTTGGTCCAGATGTATACCTTAAACTCTGCTTCCTTGATTTACCTGCATGTAATAACTCTAACTCCTTGTTCAACTGTATATAATAAACATTATGAACTTCCAGTATGTTGGTCTTTTCCATCAGAGAGCCCAGTCCATCTGGTTCCAGCTTTTCTGTCTGTGTCTGTGTTTGTTTTTTCTTCATTCCCTAGCTGCCCCAGTCAAGTCCATGCCTTGGAGCCATGCAAAGTCATAGCAATCAGACATTTTCTAGAAACAATCAACACATTCAGCAAAATGACAGGATGTAAAATCAATTTATAAGAACAAGTACCCTTTACAGGTGTGGAGATCAGACTGGTATACACAATGAATTCTAGGCCAGCAAAATCTACATAAGGAGACCTGCATAAAAAAAGAAACAAAATCAGGAGCTTTCCTATACCTAAGAATAAGCATGCTGAGAAAGCCATTATGAAACAATCCCATTTGTAGAAGTCTCAAAGAAATATCTAAGAATATATTCATCAAGGAGATGAAGGAATGTCCTCAGACAGCATTGTGAACCTATAGAAAAGCTTCCCTCTTATTTCTGTATCTGCTTCTTTTATGTAACTACCAATTCATTTAAAACTTGCTGCTGTGGAATAATGCTTTTGTACACTGGTCAATAAAATGCTGATTGGCCAGTAGCCAGGCAGGAAGTATAAGCAGACAAGGAGAATTCTGGGAAGAGGAAGGCTGTGTCAGGAGACCCCAGCCCACCATCTAGGGAGCAGCATGTAATGTCACACAGGTAAAGCTATGGAACATGTGGCGACATATAGACAGATATAACAGAAATGGGCTGAGTTTAAGTGCAAGAGCTAGTCAATAGTAAGCCTGAGCTAATGGCTGAGCAGTTTTAATTAATATAAGCCCCTGTGTGTTTACTTGGGTCTGAGTGACTGTGGACTGGGCAGGGCACAGAAAATCTTTCAGCTACAAATGGTGCCCAACGTGGGGCAAGAGTTTTCACCTAAAACCCAAAAAAAGCTTTAAAAAAGATTCTAAAATGGAGCTAAAACAGCTTCCTAGTTGTGACTCTCAGGCCAGCCACAGCCTGTGGGTTTGAGCTATAGTATGGAGGGTTCATGGCATGTGGGCTTGAGTACAGCATGGCGGATTCCTGCCACTGCACACAGTGGCATCTGCAAGCCACACAGCATGATACATGGTGGATATAGCTTTTGCTAATACAATAAAAAAGGCTTTTGGGCTACACCCTGCTTTAATAGAGGATATAGATGTAAGCATAGACCCATTGCTTCTGAGAGTTGGTGATATGCTTGGCTCCCAGAGCTTGTGGTAAACATACCACTGCCATGTTAAAAGGCTGAGGTGGGTGGAGTCAGCAGCCAAGGCTGCAGCTTCTCTGCCCTTATCACTCTGCAGTTTAAAGCAATAGATTCACAACAAGGCAGATTTAGATAAATTAAGACTTTAAATGGTTTACAGTGTGTGTAAAAATGTACATAGGCTTAAAAGAGAAAAAGAAAATGAATATAGAATTTATATAAAGAAATAGTTTTAAAAAATGAAGTCTTTGAAAAGAGTCAATAAAAATAATATAAAAAATAAGCCATGTAAAGATGGAAATCATGGCCTCTAGGACCCAGGCCCTGGTACACAGCCAGTCCCCAGGAACCCCGACCCAACTCTGTCGCAGTTGCCAGCCAACAGGGAAAACTCCTACAGGAAGACCCCCTCACCAAATCTCTCCACTGGACCCTGCAATCTACAAGTTTCATGCCCTACTCCAATACCGGTCCACCTGTGACCCCAGTAACTTCGTGAGACACGGAAACCAAATCACAAGCTCTCATTGGACCAAGAGTGGCTTTCTGAGACACAGAATCTACCAGCTCTCATTAGACCAAGAGAGACACAGACTCTGTCAGGTCTGACTTGACTGAGAGTCCCGATAAGACCGAGAATGGCTCTGTGAGTCACAGAATCACCTAGCTTGGATTGGACCAAGAGCAGTTCCTGGATACACAGAACCTGCCAGATCCAATTAGACCAAGAGCTAAGATTGGACCCAAAAGGGCCCCCTGAGACACAGACACAGCAAGCACAGATAGGACCAGTAGAAGCTTGCTCAGACACAGGCACCTCTTGCGACTATTGGAGGAAGAGATAGGTAGATGCCAGTGCAAAAATACATGCAACAACATAAAAAGCAATATGGCATCACCAGAACCTAGCCCTTCTACAACAGCAAGTTCTGAACATCACAATGTAGAATCAGAAGAAAGCAACCTTAAAAATAACTTCATGAAGATACTAGAGGCCTTTAAAGAAAAAATGAAAAATTCCCTTAAAGAAATTTAGGAAAAGACAAATAAAAATGGGAAGAAATCAATAAATCTCTTAAAAAAGGCAAAAAAACCCACGAAAACCAATTAAATATGTGAAGGAAACAGTTCAAGACCTGAAAAGTGAAAGAGAAATGATGGAAGAAGACACAAACAGAGGGAATGCTGAAAATAGAAAATCTGAATAAATGAACAGGAAACACAGATGCAAGCATAATCAACAGAATACAAGAGATGGAAGAGAGACTCTCTGGTGTAGAGGATACAATAGAGGAAATATTCATCAGTCAAAGAAAATACCAAGGCCAAAAAAAATCATAACACAAAATGTCCAGGATCTGGGACACCATGAAAAGGCCAAACCTAAGAATAATAGGGATAGAAGAAAGAGAAGAATACCAACTCAAAGGCACAGAAAATATATTCAACAAGAAAACGTTCCCAACTTAAAGAAGGGATACCAATGAAGATACAAGAAGCCTATAAAACACAAAACAGACTAGATCCCTTTCAAAATGTCCTCTCACCATATAATAATTAAACAACTAAGCATACAGAATAAAGAAAATATTAAGAGCAGCAAAGGAAAAAAGCCAAATGATTATAAAGGTAGACCCATCAGAATAACATGTCTCAATGGAGACTTTGAAAGCCAGAAGTACCTGGACAGATGTAATGCAGACACTAAGAAACCATGGATGCCAGCCTGGACTAATATACCCAGCAAAACTTTCAATCACTATAGATGGAGTGAACAAGACATTCCAAGACAAAACCAGATTTAAACACTACCTATCCAAAAACCCAGCCCCACAAAAAGCACTAGAAGGAAAATTCCAACCTAAGAAAGTCAGATATACCCATGAAAACACAGGCAACAGATAACCTCACAGCAGTAAATTCCAAAGAAGAGAAATACACACATACTACCACCAAAAGATAACAGGAATGAACAATCACTGGTCATTGATATCCCTTAATATCAATGGACTTAATTCACCTATAAAAAGACACAGGCTAACAGAATGGATATGAGAGCAGGACCCATCTTTTGGCTGCATACAAGAAATACACCTCAACTTCAATGACAGACACTACCTCAGAGTAAAAGGCTTGGAAAAGTCTTTCTAATCAAATGGTCTTAAGAAGCAAGCTAGTATAGCTATCCTAATATCCAACAAAGTAGACTTCAAACTAAAAATCAATCAAAAGAGATCAAGAAGGACATTACATATTCATCACAGGAA